GATATGGTGTCTATGAAAACTTATAAATTCTATATACAAGAACTGTGAGTTTGAGCTCTATAAAGACCTCTTCCTAGTGGTTTCTGGGGTGATTCTTTGGGCACAGATTCCTTCGCTTTTCTTCCTTCTTTGGGGTTCATTTGTACACAAGTGGCACCTCCAGACATAATGAATTTGACAAGATTGTCTAGTTTAGAGATATAACATCTGGGCTCGAGTAACTCAGCAGGTTCACTTGCCCCCAGATGTGTGGCTGGGTTTGGATTACCACCTGTCTTCCCACACCAACAGGAAATACTAGTCTCTCATCTGGTAAGAATCATTACCCATTTGTCTCTATAAGTTGGATACTGGAGCAATTCAGGTTCAGACAAGGTAATCAAGACCTGGAGTAGCCCCACTGATACTAGGACAACCTTCTAGGTGGCCAAGTCTGATGTCTGGTTCTCTTGTGCTTCTGGGGATTTCCATTTTGATGTTCTTTTGCAGTGGATAATGCACACCTCTCTTGTCACCCATAAGACCTCTAGTAGAACTTGAATTTCTTCTTTTTAAGTTTCTTTCCTGCTGAGTTGGGCAGCCCTCTCTCTATGGACATGGGTCAGAGCAAATGCATACAGACTGTTCATGTACACAATTCTGATTTCTCCCTAACCAAAGTGACATGCTTGGGTTAATGTCAGAAGCTTAGCTATTTGTGCTGAAGTCCTTTGTTGAGGTACTGGACCCACACTGTCCTGTCTAAGGTGACTACTATGGCTCTGGCATAATTGATTCCATCTTGAAAAAAAAGTGATCCCATAAGGATACAGTACCTCCTATATTTCCTGTAAAGGGACACCTGTTAGGTCACTTCCAGGCAATAGTAGAGAGGCTACATTGGGTTATAATCTAGCACAAGGATGGCTAAGTTAATGGCTAAAGTTTTACAGAATCAGATTCAGGGCTGGTCCAAAAGTGTCTGATAATGTGTTATTTGCATATTAGCTATCAACCTCTCTAGGGTTCTAGGAGGGCCTCTACAGAGTTCAGGGTGGTGAGAACTAGTTCCTTCCATTTCAGATCTGTTTTCTGAGCAAAAGGAGTAACAGAAACACAGAGAGACACAGAGTAACATATAGTAAAGACAAACAGGTGACCCACCGTAAGACTTACAATAGGGGATCCAGTGACATTTCACATGGACTCAAAACACCAGAATTCGGGTTGTGTTCAGTGTTTCCTAAGTGTCTTATGCAGAAAGCACTGTAAACAAACTCATCTCTAGAGGGCACAGATCCACTAGACTTTCTGTAGTTGCCTATTTTGCCTATTTTGAGTGGAGGCTTCAGGGATCCTCAGAGATGACAGAAACAGAGTCAGGAGAAGTGTCTAGGTCCCTGCAACATCTCAGGGTCCATTTTCTCCAGGAACTTTGCATTCCTCGAGTTATTAGACCTGGGGATCTGCTGCTCTTGTCCTTGGGATCTCTGGGAGTCTTGGAGCCTATAATATATTACAAGTTGACTTCTCCAGAGAATATACATACATTTAGAGCCAATAGAAAGCCTTCATTTGGGGGTTGGTAAGCTACACAGGGAACTTGTCTAAATCATTTTACCTCATCATTCTTTACCCTTAATGCACAAAAGACACATCCTGGTTGAGACGCTTCAGTTACGAGGAAACATCGAGAAGCAAAATTACGGAAGCTAAAAAGCAAGATTAGTACATTTAAGAACTTTCCTAGATACTGAAACTATGGTCTAGGTCTTTGAAGGATTAGGTGTTTGTTCCCATTTTGTCAAGAATTAGGGCCTATTTGCTAGGTTCTAAAAATGGTGCCTCTAATGTGGCATCAGGTGTGTTAACATCATTTTGTCTACTGAGGTGTGGGGCTGGTTACAATAGTTAATAATGGTACAAATTGCATAAAATGTATTATACATGTGATTTCTGCAATTTTTTAAAATGACAATATAGATTGCTATGGATAAATTTTGTTATACATAGTATTTCACATTGTTACCCATGTGTCCTGATGCAAAAAATTAGACTTGGTTAGATAAAATTTACCTATGTTTGAGAAGACCACAAATGAAAGACAACTGAAAGGAAACTATTTAAAAATTACAATACCATTTTTTATTATTTTTATTTAAATTAAAAACAATCTCATTTTACACACGAATCCCAGTTCCTTCTCCCTCCCGTTCTTCCATCCTTCCACTCCCTGCACCGTCTCCACATCCCACCACCCCCACCCACTCTTCTGAGAGAGTGACACCTCCCATGGGGGATCATCAAAGTCTGTCACATCATTTGGGGCAGGACCTAGGCCCTCCTCCGTGTGTCTAGATGGAGAGAATATCCATCCATAGGGAAAAGTTCATTCATGCACTAGGGATAAATACTCGTTCCACTGCCAGAGTCCCCATAGACTGTTGAAGGCCCCAACGGACACCCACATTCCATCATAACAGTAAGAAACATGAGAAGTGAAGGGAAGGAGAGTAAAGTATACAAAATCTTAAGGTAATAAATGACATGCCTGAAAAGATTTCAAAGACTGATAGTTAGGTATCTCCAGGGTCCAAGACAAAGTGCAAGACCATACAGTAAAGTGAGAAAAAGCAATTCATGATGTAAAGGAAAAATTCAAGACAGAAAATATAAATAAGGAAATTGTATGAGACACCTTGAAGCTAAAAAGTTCTAACAATACAACTTTGTGAACTTTTATGTAAGAGAAGACAAGAGAGAAAGCATCGTCGCACACTCTTGTCTTTCCTTTTTGTTTGAGGTCAACAAACTTTGCTATACATATACAAATAATCAAATCCCTATCAAATGCTAAAGGTAGCTGTTGTAGCAGACTTACCTTTTGTTTTCCTTGTTTTAAAAAGCTTGATTGTATATCCTCTCAAACACTTCAAGGCACATAGCTTATTTTAATAATTCTGATCCACTTAGTTATTTACTTTTTTATCTTTATGAAAGAGTTGCAGTTTATAAGAAGACATTTTTAACATGGCTACTGTTTTTTTTCCTAGTCTTTAAGTGATTGATAATTTTACTCATGTCAATGAATTTCTCAAATTAAATGTACCTCATTAGTCCACTTGGTTAGGTTATTAGGGCAACCATCTATTGTCTGGGATTTTATTCCTCATTTAAAACATATAACACATCATGAGAGCCTGGACAACATTTAGTTCTGTGCAGTAAAAACAAAGGAAATGTGTGTTGTCAGAAATCTCTGCCTCAGTGTGGCCTTCTGATTACCAATATACTGCTAACTTTTGTTTTCTTACCAACAACAATAACAAAAACCTTCTATCTGTTGACAGAGACAACATAAAATCCTGTAAAGTTAATATTCTCAGCTGAGATGCAAAGATATTTAAGTATTCACAGTTTTGTCATGCTGGCTACATGATCCAGTGGCTGGGCATATGGATACTCTTACACTCCACGCACAAGAGTGCGTAAACATGTTTTTGCTTTCCGTGTACAGGAGTGGTATCCACTCATTAATTATCACTACCTCCACTGGAAAATAAGAGATAATTGGAAACTACTTGCAAAAGCATGCCAGACTAGTATGAGAACATCCTTCAACTTTGACGATAGTGTTTCCTCTTTGTTTTCACCCTGTAAGGACCTATTCCATGATGGCATTTGAAGTAGGTACTGGGAAATATGACCTCCATCAGAGTCACACAGCTTTTATATTCCATTTTGTCCTTTCACATGGTTTAGGGGTCTGTAGGTTGTTTGAAGTTTTAAACACAGGTTGTTATTTTTGTCTGGTTATGACTCTTTGACAGGACACTGGTTCCATTAAATATCACGCTCCTAAATCTATTTGTCAGACACATGTTTCTACAACCACTCTCAGAGTTTTTTGAAAACATTAGTGCTAGCCATAACTTATTTGTTGCTTTTCTCCTCGGGAACCTGCCTCTAAAGTATAAGAAATCACATGAGGATCTTTGCAAGAAGACAGTCAGGAAAGGATGATCATATGCTTCATTCATCTTTGCCTTAGACCTGAGCCTTAATGTATTTTCTTACTCAAAGTCCCATCGAATTTTGTTCCTAGTCATGTGGATTCCATAACTGGTAATTTTCAAATATTTGAGTGTCCAAATATCTAGAATTTTAAAAATCTTTTCATCCTTTACTGGTTTATCTCTTTCCAATAAAACCTTATTTACAGCAGAATGTAAAAGTTTCTTGATACTTTCTTTTTCTACTCACTTTTTTGGGAAATCACAAATCCAATGAACATTTAATTCTCAATGGTGTTTATTCATCTTTCACCTTCTGTCAACATTTCACAGGAGTGCAACCCTGTCACCAAAGCATATTACTCTCTTTCATCAAACACACAGTGTCTTCTGCCAAATCATTCTTTCCTCTCCTCTGATGAAATTATTTGTTATGACTGTCTGGATTTTGAAAATTGAGTTCCCCAAAGTATTATTGTAAGGTTTCTTTGAAGACTTCTTTAGAGGAGATACCAATTTTTAGAGCTTTAAATATTACTTTTATAATGTTAAATATTAAGTTATTAAACTCCAGATTTTGTATTACCATAGTCTTATATTAAAATGGTACATTTGGATTTTCCACATCTACATAGAGATTCACACTCACACACACACACACACACACACACTTACTTTCATATGTGAATATCAAGTAAAAATGTGTAATGCAAAAGCTTATACAGGCTTTTTTGACTCATGCTGTCTTTTCTTTAAAATATAAGCTCAATGGTAAAAGATATTAATTTGTGAAGTCTTATCTTCCCAAGTGTATCATGTACTGTAGCCACACAACCAGTATTTGTGGACTGAATAATTGAAATAACATATACTAATGCAATTTCATTTTAATATAAATATACTATTTCAAAATGGCTCATTCTAGTTACAGATATATATATGTATCTCCATATATATATATGGAGAAAGTAACAGCTAACTAAAACAGTGTTCCTTGATTTCTTCTAGATCCCAATTCTCTGGCTGGCCAGAATGGCCCCGATCATGCTCTCATAGGAGGAATAGTGGCTGTAGTTGTATTTGTCACTCTGTGCTCCATATTTCTGCTTGGTCGATATCTGGCAAGACATAAAGGTAGGTAATATTTAAAGAAAGCTCTCTTAGTTTTGATTTTTAAAAAAACCTGGAAACATTAATTTCATTCTGAAATCTTTTTTTTAATTTTTTAATTTTAATTTTAAATAGCTTGTTTTACATGTCAGTCCCAGTTCCCTCTTCCTCCCCTCCTCCCGCAGCCCCTCACTATCCCCGCCCCAGCCTCCCACCCTATCACCATTTCCTTCCGAATAGGGGATATCTAGAGTCTGCCATTTCACTCAGGGCAGGGTCCAGGCATTCCCCTAAGAGTCCAGGTTGAGAGAGCGTCCCTCTTTTTGTTATTGACACACAATGTCTGTTTGTATGCCAGGGATCTTATAGGCATATATGTTTCTCCAGTGAGTGGATGCAGAAATACTGAAAGAGAGAGATTTGAAGACCAAAATTTAAATTATTTCAGGGAAGTGATGATAATTGTTATTTCAAATGATTTAACATTAATTTTGTTAACATTAATTCTGTGCTACCTTTAACAGTAGAAAACCAATTTCCATGTTTTTATAAACAGAAACCGTGCACCACCTACCAAACATTTATAGTCAGATTGCAGTGAGAGAGAAAATTATGTACTTCATGGTTTTCCCCCATGAACTGCTGGCTCACTCTGGGAATGTTGGCCATTGTCAAAATGTGATTTTACTACACCAATCTAATTCTGAGTATATATATAAAAAATGAATGAGAACAAAAGTAGTAGGAAAGTAATATATTTGTAGAGATAAAAATCAACTCTTGCCTGTTTGGTTCAAAGTTTGGTTACACATTATTGGAATACATTTAGCCATATTAGTCAAGAAATTATGTTCTTAATAAAAATATTTTAAATACAATGGTATTATTTTTATTTTTACCTTTTAATAGTCCAATCTAAGAATTTGTTGACATAGCTCAGTATGATTCTTTTCATGCCCAGGAGTATTTGGACAATACAAATATTTTTCTGAATTTTTAATTTGTTTTGTTTTGGTATTTTTTTGTGTGTTTTGGGTTTTTATGTTTATTTTTAGGTTTTTTTGGTAGCTCAGTTTCGAAAAAATCAGTAAAATAATAGTAAACATTTAGGATGACAACTAACTGCACTCAATTAAGGGGCACTGATTGTTCTAACTGAAATTTTTATGGTTTTATCAATCTTTAAAGAAGTCAAAATTACATATTAATCATTTCCGTCTCACTCTTGCCTTTAAATAATGGTATCACAGTTTCACTTGAAATACATCTTTTAAAAATGAGGGGGAAAAAAGAAGTTAGAATTTTAAAGTTGGAGCCATGTGGCTTTTTAATTTCTAAGTAAATATATCCTCAATGATGGTTACTTTACTATGCCCCAGGAACTATCATCGTTTTCTTCCAATTTCTACAGGAACATATCTAACAAATGAAGCTAAAGGTGCTGAGGATGCCCCAGATGCTGACACGGCCATTATCAATGCTGAAGGCAGCCAAGTCAACGCTGAAGAGAAAAAAGAGTATTTCATTTAAAATTCGGGCCAGACGCTCTGAGTTTTACCTACCAGGCTGACTGCTGGAGAAACCTGGCAATCATCTTTCAGAAACCATTCCAACCATCCTCTACTACTTTTATTAACACCCATACTGCACTGCTCTCAGTAGCCAGTGTATACCAACACTCAGCGGTTGAAAGCATCACCCTTTAATTACTGTACCATCCATAATGCAGGACATTTCTTATTGCCTAAATTTGACACCATTGCTCTTTTAACATACAGTGCTTGAATATACAGCCTTAACAATGTTAATCATCTCACTGGATCATGATATTGAGTTGTTTTTATGCATTGATGAAATGTATGAAGAGTCCCACCCTACATTTGTTTTCCTTTAAGTCATAGACTTTATTGGTTTGCCATTGGACAGTTTTCACAAGTCACAGGATTAGGTAATGGCCTAATGTGCTTACGTTTAATCAAAGATTAGAGGTTTACAAACTATGTTTTCTACCTGTCTATCTTCCAAGATAACATGTTGTGGAAACATATGCCCTAGAAAACACAAACTGAAAACAGTGTAGTGTAGTTTCTGGAATGTCTGAGATTATATTGGTAATACTGTATCAAGTTACTATTTTAACATTTAGTGTTTGATACAGGCACCATGTGTATGGATTATAATCATGACATGACACCTTATATTATTATATAGATCCTACCATTAGGTTATTGTAGCTTCATTTACCAATAAATTATTACAAACATTTAACCGCTTCGGGAATCATAAAGATTTCATTCATTTCTCTATTTGATTCTATAATTTATTTACTCCATGAGGATTCACCTGTAAACAAAAGTGAAGTAGGGCACAATTTTGAGACATTTTAGTATCTGTATATAGTGCATATAATAAATCCAATTAAACATTATTTGATACATATTTAACTTTTTTGGCTGTAGGTTATTCAGTCATAAGTACACATTTTCTAACGTCCATTATATCCCTTTAGATATTACTTAAACTGATATTATAAGTAGATAACATGTATTAGTATTTTTGTCTGTATGTCCTAGCACTGTCAACAACAAATTTTTCTAGTTCTTGTTAATTTTTATTTGTTATACAATGGAAGCACAATGTTACAAGGAAAGGTAATTTTAAGCTAACAACCAGTGCACAGCCTCAGGTTTTAAATCGCAACCACAGTTGAATAATAACCTAAAAACAAACTCTTAGTTTGATAAAAAAAAAACAACTTACACATTTTTATTTGGCAGTTTCAGGGCTGCTTAACTATGTTGATTTGCCTAAAAGGAAGTGTTTAGGATATGTTTTCTGTATAAATGAACTAATTCTTTACATTAAATTCCTGTCTATGCATTCTGTGAGGTACAAACTTATTATAAACAGTAAGAGATAGAAAACCCCTGCCATACTCTTAACTCCAAGGTGAAAGTCTCTTTCTCTGGATTATTTTGAAATTTTGGTGTATTGAACTATTACAAAATTCTGTAATCTTAAATATGACACAGTCAATATAAAGTCTTATTTCATTGGGTGACATATAATATTGGTAGACTAGTGTTCATTAAAGCTATTAGCAGCTAAAGAATAAAATCCAGTTAGATTAAAAATTATTTTGCCATTTGCAAGCATTGCACCATTAAGAAGAAAACAATATTACAATATGGTAGCTGCATTTGTGATGTCTGACAGCATGATGGCCTAGAGTTTTAATGATACCTTGGAATTTATTTGGGGGAAACAAGAATGACTGAATACAACATCCTGTGTTAGTATCAAATGAAGGACAAGGGTGCTGTATACTAGATTATTTATCAGAAAAGCATCAAACTTTCAAGGAAAATGTTAGAATTTTTAAGTTTTTTTAATTGTGTAGCATTTATCTTGTTGATTTCTTGCAAAAGAAAAAGGACGATGTCAGTCAAGCAGCACTTTTTCAAAATATACAGAACATAAATAATATGATGTGGTTGAGTGTTAACATAATAAATCATATACAGTATGACATTTTAAGGAAATAAGTCTGCATTGATGTGATTGCATGCTTGTTTTTACAGTTCACTCCATACCATCTGTGGAAAAATGCAATAATATGTTAATATAGTATGGTAGTTTGAGAGAATCAGGTAGGTGCCTCTAGACACATTGAAACTAGAATAGGTCTATAAACTGCTCATATCTTTCAATGCATAACCTTTAGAAAGACTCCACACAGCAAAGTTCATCCTGTTAGTACAAAATGGAAAGGTCCTTATTGCTAAGTACGTTGTATAACTGCATCATCAATTACTATTTAAAGCCTAATTTCAGGACACATTTGCAAAATTGCTACTCTTCATCGATGCTGTATTTACATCCTTCTTCATCTATATTCTACTTGGCTCCAACTGCTAAAATTATTACCTAAATAACACAATCATTATTTATAGCACAGCAAAATTAGAAATTCAAAATTGTTTGCTTTTCAAGGCATTTGACTCTTTTAACCCTTCCAAGAAATAAACCCCTTAGAACTTGTAAAAAGAAAACCACTGGCAGATAAAAATTTGTGGGCTCTAATCAAATGATTTTCCATTAAACATGGCTACTTTGATTGAATATCATTTCCTGACATGGGATAAAAAAGATGGAGTTATACTTTTCTGTATTGAAAGGTTATTTGATTTTCACTAAAGGAAATAAGTTGCAAGAATTCTGGGCATTCCCCATTCCAGCAAATAAAAGAAAAATGAGATAAGATTTCTAAGCTGGACTCCTGTCAACTGAGAAGCCTGAAATTTGTACAGTCATATGCTCAAGGAGCCACTTTCTTTCACTGCCAAGGCAGTTCAGTAGATAGGGGACACAGTGGAAAGAGTGTGTGCACATGACCCTCAAGGCCTATGAGCATCATTTGTTAAAAAAGAAGTTCCTCTCTGCCAGAAATGTTTACAGTATGCATTGATTGTCCTCCATCAGAAATCGCTAACCAACATTCTTCTTGCCTTCTTTTCCTTTTTGAATGTCCTGGGGAGAATGGTGATCAAAACTAGGGGAAGAAAGGAAGAGTTTGAGTGCAATAGTAAAGACAAAATATCCTATTGGAATATCGATGTGTATGTGTGCATGTGTTTGTTTGTGTGTGAATGCATGTGTGTGCACGTGTATGTGTGTGTGTGAGAGAGTATTTAAGAGAAGAGAGATTTAAAAAAAAGAAAGAGAAAGAGATTCCAATTTCTTTTCTTTTACCAGAAATTACAAGAAGCAATTTAAGGAACCTGATATTGTGATTTAATCTAGAAACTGGATGATTTCATTAAAGATGTCTAGTCTTTCATAAAACTACAATTAAATCAACTGATAGAGAAAGAAAAACAACTTTCCTGATTATAGCAAAGAAGCTAACACCTCATTTTTATTGTTTGGGCTTTTATTGTTGTTCGTTTGTTTTTTTTGTAAAAAAAAGAAGTATAAATATTCAATTAAAAAGACAGATTCACTTGTAATTATGTATTCATGACTGTAACAGCATTGAGAGTCCATATAGGCACATGTACAGCAGCTGTTTGACAGTAGTGACTCTTCCATGTAACGTAGAAGTTATTGTGTGATTTAGTGCCACTTATTGCAAAGTGTTACCAATGGGCACATTGAAAATGCTTTTCCTTCCCCACCTTTTAGACATAAGTACAAAATCACTAAAATATCAAATTCCACAGTTCTACAGTTGTGGGAATAAAACAAGAATCTTCATACTGTACTCTAACCTTCCCATGATATTTTAGTTCCAGAAACCTTTTGGAAAATGTCCAGTTTTATTTCCTTTAGCAAATGGTAATCTGTGATGGATACAGAAAATGAAATGATTCACCAGTGATCACAACTGAAATAAGTAAAAATCCTAGAGAAAATTACTGATGAGTAATGCTTTTTGTTAAGTGGCACCAAGTACACACTAAAAACTATGCAAAATATAGGTAACTACAGTGTATGTACATGTAAGTATCTTGTACTAGCTGTGTATGGATGTCAGAAACCCATGTAATTATAATATGCATTTTGAATTCTGGGAAAGAGGAAATCTTAGTGTAGATAATATAATTTGTTTTGAAATACTCATTGGCAATATTGAAATATACTCAGTGCAATATCTGTAATTCTATTGCTGGGCACTTAATGCAAAGGGATTTAAAATACTCTTAAACAAGATCCAAGAGTTTGCTAATCCACCACTAAAGTATTAAAGCACTAACAACAACAAATTATTTTTTCCTACTTAATTATTGAGGTAACAAAGGAAATTTGTTTGGTTTAGTGTTTAACATTACTGCAGAGAATGAAATAACATGGATTTTAATCTTGGTTTATTTCTAATCGAATTTGACATTCTTCAGCTTTCTTTGAAACATGTGTGCTTTAATAGATTGAAGTACTTTGATTATAAGTACAAATTTATTCAAAGAACATAGGGTATATTTATAAGTTAAAGTCACTTATAGTTTAATGGGGAAATCCTATCTTTTCTGTACTCTCCTTTGTCTCCCTATCACAATCCAAACATGCCCTTTGCACTTCTATGTACCCTTCCAAAGGCAGTGGAGTGAAAGCAGCAAGATAATAAAGAGAGTTAAATGGGACAGTATATATGAATGGCTACTAAAATCATCAGCATTTTTATGTATTGAGATTACTATTGAATGCAATAGTTATTGGATATAGCTGGTAATTTCTCTGCCATGCATACTTACAATAATTCTTCTACCTCTCACTTTTAACATGGGCTATGATACTTCAATATAAATAGAGGAAGTAAATATTTACAAGATATCCCAGGAAGCATCATTTTGGGACTTTCTTAACAATGCAATCCCCACTCCCTGGGAAATCTCAAAAGCCAACTTCTTGTAGTGTATTCTATGGTGTATGGATATGCGTTTGTTTAGCTTCTCTATTATTAGCTTCATATAGGTAACTTGGTGAGGACAGGTCTTTCCATGCCTAGTTAATAGTTTGCTGTTATGTAAATGTAACTTTTAAAAAGTGATTTGATGGCAACATTTTACAATCCAATCTGATAGTTCATTTCAGTTGTTAAAGTGTAACAATTTCTTGAAATTCAATGTTGTGTTTTAAGTACAAATCATGTATGATTTAATTTCCAGAGAAGTGTTATCTATATAAACAAAAATTAATTATTTTAGAACTGCCTCCTTATGAACAAATAACCCCAAACACTTAAAAATATTGCCTCAAACATCCACTTTTTCTGCCTAGGCATGACATGAACTTTTCAATGATGTAATTTAAATATGTTAAAATAAAATGCCATTTTATGAGCGTATTTTCCTTTAGGAAAAAAATAGATTACATAAATTTATGAAATTACAATGGTGAATCTATAAAAGACACTTAAAGATGTTTCTATGTTATGTGGTTATGTTGTAAATAGTGTTTGGTTTACTCTTTACCATCTTTTCCTTATATATGTATACATACATATATATGTATATATATGAAATGTGTGATTATTTTGGAGAAAATGGGCCCAAATGTGGAAACGATGTAAAGAAAACACTATTCCCCCTTGGAAATATGCTGTATATTTCAATGATGTTAAGTTAAAAGACAAGTGAAAATTGCAGGGGCACAAGAAATATCTACCAGGGCTCAGCACTTAAGCACTTTTTCCCACATCCAGGGTCAAAGCAGTAGCGATTCCTACATGGACTTTTAAGTGCAGCATGAAATGCAGCATTACACGAATACACAGTACTGTCAAACCTCAAATGCTTTCTTTCTTTAGATGCTTTCCCTTGTACATGATCCTAGTAGACATGTTTTTATATTTGCTGATAGTGAAAGTCATGCGCAATAAAATACAATGGTTGAAAGCAGTAGTCACTAATCGGTTAAAGACAAGTACAAAATGTAAACAGAGTTGCTATATTTCTCCTCTTTGGTTTTCTCTGTGGTTCTGGTGTGTTGACTGAATCTCATAAATAGAATGAAAAGCAATCTAGAAGTTTTCAAAGCTAGTAATATTGCTCCTTATAAATATGTAACATTTTAATCTTTTTACAGACTTATTTCTCTGTACTCACTGTACGTGTTGTAGATTCAATGACACAATGGAGTAGTGACCCAAGGATTTCTGAGTTTGGAATGACATCTCTTTTCTTCATATTTAGTTTTTAATCAATATTTGTGAATTGGTTGTTTAACTTTTTATTCAGCCATGAATATTACTTAAAGAAAGCTTCATTCTTATCATAAATATTTCAGTGTAAACAACCTTGCTACAGGTTTACCATATTAAAAAATTTAAAGACTTATCTCTGAAAACAGTGTTCAAAAATGCAGGTGTTCCCAGTAATGTAGCTTCAAAAATACAGTGTTGTATTTATATGACTTGAAATCCATATCTTTTGGAAGGGTATACTTGTGACAGCATTAAAATATATTCTGTGCTGTAAAGATGATTCACCAAAATGAAGCATCTTCCATAGAAAACAAACACAATTATTGAATCTATTCTTATCATGAACATTTTCACAAAACAAAATGCATATTGTAATATTAAGTACATGACACTTGCATGTTGATATGCCTATATACTTACAAAGTATTCAATGTGTACTGAGTGGCACTTCAAATCTGTCATGTACAACTCTTATAAACATGCCTACAGGGTTCCCATTTACACTCCATCCTTTCAGTAAAGTCTCCTCAGAAAAAAAGTTGTCTGATAAGTATGGAAAAAATAAAATTTGAATTTTAGTTATCTGTTGGACATTACTGAACTGTTTCTTCATTTAGTGCATTTTAGGCTTGAAAGCACCCATTGAGAAAATGAACTTGCTTTTCTCCAGTGAAAGGTTGCAAAAAATGGGGTGAAACATATTCTGTTATGCCAAATACATTACTTTGAATCTTTTCTTGATTGCATAGCATATCCCTTTTTTATGTTTCCTCGAGGACATACAAGTTTCTTGTAAATTTCCAAAATGGACCTCTTTGTTTTTTTAAAAATGAGAGCTACTTAAAAATTAAATATTATCTTGCTGATATAGCATTTAATCATTACTCCTTGAAATGTATGAACCTTGTAATATGCTGGCTAATGGTTAAAAAAGTGTCACTGACATAAAGAATTTTGCTTGAGATTGCCAACGTTCAAACTTTGTAAAGGTAATTTTACATCCACTTATTTGTGTTTACTAATGTTGACTATGAACAAAAGCAAACATATCTAAACCAATTTCTTTTTATTTCCACAATCTAACCAATATATTTCAACTACCTATAATAATGCAATTAACCTTATATACATCCTAAGCTTATAACAATAAGAATTTGAGATAAGCTTTTAAATTTATGGAAGATTTTCTTTGTGTCTTTGGAAGTTCACTTACCATGAGGTATTTTGTAGTCTACTTTAAATAACAGATTTTGTTATACAGGGTAAGCCAAAGGCTGTACAAGAATTAGTGCCATTGGGTCTGATATTTGTGTTGGACCATGAAATATTCCATTAAAATTTGTCTGTAAATACAAGGCAAGATTCTGTATCTGATTTATTTTTGTTAAATAACTTATCATATTATTTTACATTTATGTTTTTCCAGCAAAAGAAGGGATGCAATATTGGAAATTTAAAGCTTTCTTAAAGATCATATTCTATATACCTGAAAGGAAATGAGGCGATTGACAGGGAAATATTAATAAAAGTTTGTTTTTAGTGATGCCTAGCATATTCATCCATGTGAGCTCTACACCAATAAGGCACATGATATCCAAGTTTCCCAAATGGATAAACTTGTCATAATGACAACTTTAATTCTGGTAGTTTTTATAGTATCAATGAATTCAAATTTTCAAACTAAGAATTTATAATACAATTCATGAAGAATATTTGTTGATTCACTTGTCCTTAGACTTTAGTCATCTTCTAAGGAGTGGTCATTACAACAATCATATCAAGATATCATTTCAAGATTTTATTGAAAGTGTGAAAATACATATCCTGAACATAACTACCAAAATTTCAAATCTTTTTATTTGTAGAAATACACATCTTTACACATGAGACCGATAAATCAAACAGATGACAGACTTCAGAAACACTATCTTGTCTCATGGAGTGGTAAACACCTACTTTAAAGACTGAGAATGGGGTGTCTAGACTCTAAGTACAGCCCAGGCAACACACTGAGCTCAAAGGAAGGACAAGAGGAAAGAGACGAAAGGAGAGCAAAAGATAGAACAAGGCATTGTCATGTAACTCAGAGACAGCACATAATAGTGAATGCTCCAAGTGCTGTTAACTCTATGAAACATTGTTGATAACATGATGTTGGGGTACAGAAATCATTCTAAGACCTGTAAAACATAGCTAGAGAACTTGACAGGAGAAGAATGTATGCCCTTTCAGCTAGAAATTATGAACATTAGGAGATGGATGCTGTTTTAGTATATTTGGAGATAAAAGAGGATTAGGAAACATATCAAGTTAAGTTGTGCTTATTTTGTAATTCTGCCAAAGAATAGAAACACATTTCAACCTGTTTCTAACAACATCAGAGAACTTTATGACACTTTACCTGACAGTGCCAGAGATCCTACAGTCCTGTATTCATAAGACTAGGATGTAGTCATCTAAATACTTCAACTTGTACTAAACAACCAAATAACTGAATGTTTATTTGCTTCCAAATGTATCCTTAGGTCTTAGATTTTTTTCTATTAAAAATTAAAAGTTTCAATTGTGCAGCTTATATTATTAAAAATCTCCAAGCTCTTCTCTCAAGGTATGTCTTGTTCCTAAACACTAAAGAACACAGAACCTCCCTCAGGGACTTCTAGAATAAGGAAATGTCGCTGCTGTTTTAGATCTGATCTTGGTTCTAAGTTTCCCTGATAAACTTATTCAGTGGAAAAAAAGTAGACATTATTATACACGGAATTTAGACAAACTCCTAAATCTCGCCAGGAACTCCAGGCTAAGACTCGTCTTTGGCCTTGCACCAAACATCAAGTCCCTGGCTTTGAAAACTTTTTTTTTGTTCTCCCTGTACCTGGCAGCCATCTTAATCAACACACTGGGTACTGATTTGCAACTTCCACATATATCTACTGCTTTCCCAGAGACAAATTAGAAATATAATTTTCCCATTAGAAGATAATTTTGAAAAAATTCCCGAAGCTAATATTATATCTCACAAAACAGCATACTTAAAGTTCAGAAGGCTATATAGTGGCAATTGGGGGACTAGAATATGAAGACAACTGCTCAAGTGCATTGGTTCTGTAACTGTGTAATTTTTACCAGTGGATGCACACAGATTCTTTGTCTCCTTCCCCATTGTTGTTTGTAGAATATTCTTAGCAGCATCCATTAGACATAGAATTAATCTATATTACTAGAAGTTGAGAATGACAAGTTTTAAAGCTTTTATGATTCTGCATGGAACTGTCCTCAAAATGAGTGCTTAAAATACCACTGTGATACCCTTTGAGTAAATGTGTGAAAAGGATAAAGTGGAACTGGGAGAGTAGGATAACAAAGGTGATAACTGAATGAATGAGCTGAGGAAGCTTTAGATAATGTTGAGACAGGGTATCACTATGTTCCTCAGGATGGTCTTGAACTTGTGTCAGCTTTGAATACATGATTGTAACCTGATTGTAGTAGGCCCTTCTGAAGCTTTAGTTCTAATTTTGGAAAGATTTATTAATTCAGTCTATGGTTCAGTACTTACTGTTGTAATTTAAGCAAAACAGCATGCGATTGAAAAATACCTTGAGGCAGGGTTCAAGCAGATTTTTTTTATTAGGGAAAGGAATCATAAAAATGGGAAATGGGTACGGGGAGACCAGCCTTCAGAGACATGAGCAGTAGTAGGGAGGGGAAAGAGGGGGAGAAAGAGCAGAGAGGGAGAGAGAGAGAGCAGAACAGAGAGAGAGAACAGGGGGAGAGAAAAAGAGAGGGATGGGACGTGACTTGGGCCCTTTTAAAAAGGAAAATAGTGAATGTGCACGGGTGGTGGTCTGAGTGGCTGAAGCTGAGGGCCTATCCTGTCAGAACCCCAAGGGCAGGCCAGTATAGATGCCTAAACACTAATACTTACCATCTGAGTTGATCTCATTGTCAGTGACTAGCAATATTCACAGGATCCCAGGCCCTGAGTGAGACTCCATACATGGGATTTAATGCCTGTCAGTGGCTTTCTTGGAGATCATAATTTCACCTCTGACTTCATGTTTTGTAAGAGAAGTCTGAGAAGCCAACAAGCCCCAAGGTTTTCCCCATCATGAGAGGTTCTGCCTATCACCACCATTTTTCATGCCTAGAAAACACAGTCAATAAGAGAATTCTGCTTAAATGTGAAAGGCTTGTATCAGTATATATTGTCCCCAGAAGTCCCAAAATCATGCTTGGATTTTGTGAAGATTCTTTACTTCCTCTGTGAGTAACTTTATATCCATAATAGTTCAATATTATCTAACAAAAACAAACAAACAACTCAGAATAAATAACAACAAAAATGAAAAGGTGAGAGAATTATCTGGAAAGAAAAGAAAGGTATAAGTTATCTTTTCTGATTTTTGAATAAAGTATATCACAATTTCACTGTGTGTCATTCTCACAAATTCTGTTGATGGTCATGTTTCCCTATACAATAATGGTTGTCACAATAATCTATTATTGTAACAGTTAAGACAGTAATCTATTGCTTTAAAACGTGAAATCATATAGGTGCCTTGACTTCTTCTTGCTCTCCTCCTCATCTTCTTTATTTGTTTGTCTGCTTTTGGTTTGCACATCATTTTGTTAATCTTTCCTCTTCAAGAGTCACCCAAATCATCTTACTGATTCAAGACCTCAAGTCAAGAGTTACTTGGATACTTTAACTTTCATTTGCTTCCTCTGTGGTCTAACCCAGTATGAACAGAAAAACAGTTGAAAAGATAAGCAGTGGATAGTACATTCCTTCTTTTTATAGTAGATAATCCAAATTGCACATACAAGCTATTTAATCTAGCTCATCTTGGTGACTGCTTGAAATTTTATAATATTCTATGAAAAAATCAAATTAATGTACCATTGTTGACAGGACTAACTAGCAAGATATCAATGCAGGAATAATACATTTAAAATTAAGGTTCAGGCCAGCCAGATATCTCAGCAGGGAAGAACACCTGATTTCAAGCTTGACAACTCAAGTACAATCCACAAGGCATTACAAAGTCAACGGGAAAAGAAACTCCAGCTACTTATCCTCTGACCTGTACACAAAAGATTCACACACACACACACACACATTAAATAAATAAATAAATAAATGAAAATTCTTACTTCTTTCAAAAGGAAAACCCACGCTATAATCTTGACAAAACTTTAAAATAAATCCAAAAATAATAAATAAGACTATAGTCAGCATTACACCTTAGCAGGAAAACAGCTCTGGTCTGAAACTCATCTCTGACTGAAAACAGAACAGCAATGAAATATAGTTTAAAAATAAATAAAAGCATAACAAATGAATGTTTTCCTTTGTTGTTAAGGTCAGGTGGTACTTCAGTTTACTCTTAAATATAACCTTACACACTTAGGAAATACCCAGTACTGAATATCTGGTATCATTAAGATTAATGAAACGCTAATAAGATTTTATTTATTTCCAGTTAACACATGAGAATAATTGTTAATATTTTCAGAGAGAAGCACATGCATGAATCTTTATAACTTACACTGCCTTCCTATTTAGACATGCCATTTGTTTTCTCCTGCATCACACAGTAGTCTTAAAGTATTGCATTCCATAAGCACCTCATATTATCTTGTTTTCTTTATTTTTTGAACAAGAACACAAAGGTATTAAAAAATACAGTGTCAGTCCCTTGATCAGTTGATACAATGACCATTAAGTAAAGACAATGACTTCTATGTTTTATAGAGCATAGGAAGATAACAGAAAAGAAAATTCACAATGGTTTATATACAATTGCCAATTCTGACAAGGACTGTGGCCATTCATACATAGAAAAGAAAGACAAAAATAGAATTACCTGCCCTTTGGGGGTGGCATGTTCTTTGCTGGGAATATTCGAGCAGCTTTTTTAATGAATTGACAGATATTAGCCCAGTGAAAATAGACAAAAACATAGCTGAAGCTAAGGAGACAACAAATGCCAGGGGCTGAGGCCAACTATCAGCAATAAACAGCAAACTGAATGCCAGGCAGAGGGACTTAGACATTTATCCAAATTTGTTTTATCACAGGCATGGCTTACTGAATACTAGTAAAGTGTATGTAAGGAACTGAAAGGCAGTCTTCGCAGAAGAGAAATCATGCTGAATTTTGAGGGAGTGGTAGAGAAACCCAACAGAGTCATCAGACAACCTGGTGGTTACCAATTTCTTGAAGCTGGTACCATACTCTGGCTCGAAAGAAACAGGGCATCTTTGTCTTGTTCAACTGGCACACAGAGGTCATCTTGCTCACTTGGCAGAGCAGTGTCAAGAACTCAATGGCAGGCTTGACCTCAGTAAC